GAGGCAGCTGAAAAATGACTCTCTCTCATCGATGTTTCTAACTCTCTATCTCTCTCCCTCTCAATACAAAATCAATAAAATATATTTTAAAAAATAAATAAATAAATAAATAAAATTTAAAAAAAGATTATATGGATCCACATAGTTATTTCCACTGGTGGGGAAAAAGAAATATATGCTTAAACAAGTACTTATTGGATGCTTCTTAAATTCAAGACATTGTTGAAGGTACTATGAATAACTTAAAAATATTGAAATTTTCAGGTTTGGGTCATTATCAGTGGGAACATAACTTGTTTACTTTGCCTTGTCTTACAGTCTAGTCTCCTGAGACAAGATATAGGGCTTGGAAGCCCAGCACAGCTGTCTTCTTCAGGAAAACCTGGGACGCCATACTACTCATTCTCCGCCACAAGTTCCAGGAGAAGACCACTCCATGACTCTGCAGCACTTGGTGAGTGTCTCACAGACAAACCCATCCTACAAATGCTTCTCCCCACCCTTAGTCTCTTCTGGCAAGAAATTTGATTTCTTGGGTATCACGTTGATATTGGGGCTTATTTACATAAAGTAATACATCTATTAGATATTTAATAAACAATTTAATACTGTTGTTTGGTCATCAGTATAGGAGGGACTGAAAACTTAAAAATGGAACTAGTTTTTCCTCATAAACGTGTCTGCTCATAGGTGTTTTTTCTGCTCATATCTTTTACTAAAATTGTCATAATGCTGAACAGTTTACAAAGTGGTTTTATATACATTCTCATCTCATCAATGCTAGGCAATGGATACAATACTAGATTTAACATAAAACTGAGACTCAAAAGAGGACACATTCATATAATTAGTAGGTGACTTTCACAGAATAAAATTTAAGATTTTCTGACTCCAATTTCAATGTTCTTTGCATATTAATTGCTTCCACTCCCCACATTTTCTTAAAATGAGGTAAAAGTGTAAAATTAATCATATTAAAGTGTACAGACAAATTAAAGTACACAGTGGCATTTTGTATATTCACAATGCTGTTCAACTGTCATCTCTGTCTAGTTCCAAAACATCACCTTAAAAGGAAACACAGGCTGGCCACTGTTACTCAGTGGCTGAGCATTGACCTCTGAACCAGGAGGTCAGTTTTCCAGTCAGGACACATGGCCGGGGTTACGGGCTTGATCCCAGGAGGCAGCCGGTCAGTGATTCTCTGTCATCATTGATGTTTCTGTCTCTCTCTCCTTCTCCCTTCCTTTCTCTGTAATCAATAAAAACATTTTAAAAATCGCAAACCACATTTTAAAAGGCAAAAAAAGAAAAGACTACCTATTAAGCATTCAGCCCTCATTTTCTTTATGCATTACCTATCCAAGCCAATCTATTTTGTTTTGCTACTTACAGCAAGTTTCAGGTGTATTCTGATGCCTTATCTAATCATTGTTTGTGGCATTTTTGGTGATTCCTACAAAAGAATCCTTTATACAGGAAAATTGAAGTTGTAAAGCATGTTTGTATTAAGGTAGACCAGCTTGTAAAGAAATATATAGGCTAGGCTTCTCAGACGCCTTCATCCTGGGGCTGCCTGTGACCAGCCATGGTGAACCCCACCGTGTTCTTTGACATCGCTGTTGATAGCGATCCCTTGAGCCGCATCTCCTTCGAGCTGTTCGCAGACAAAGTTCCAAAGACAGCAGAAAACTCCCATGCTCTGAGCACTGGCTAGAAAAGATTTGGTTATAAAGGTTCCTGCTTTCACAGAATTATTCCGGGATTTATGTGCCAGGATGGTGACTTCACATGCCATAATGGTACAGGTGCGTCCGTCTATGGGGAGAAATTTGAGGATGAGAACTTCATCCTAAAACATACAGGTCCTAGCATCTTTTTTTTTTTTTAATATATTTTATTGATATTTTACAGAGAGGAGGAAGGGAGAAAGATAGAGAGCTAGAAACGTCAATGAGAGAGAAACATCGACCAGCTGCCTCTTGCACACCTCCTACCAGGGATGTGCCCGCAACCAATGTACATGCTCTTGACCGGAATCGAACCTGGGACCCCTCAGTTCGCAGACCGACGCTCCACCGCTGAGCCAAACCGGCTTCGACTGTCCTCGCATCTTGTTCATGGCAAATGCTGGACCTAACACAAACGGTTCCAGTTTTTCATCCTCACTGCCACGCCTGAGTGTTTGGAGAGGAAGCACGTGGTCTTCAGCCAGAAAGACGGCATGGGTATTGTGACAGCCATGGAGCCCTTTGGGTCCAGGAATGGCAATACCAGCAAGATCACCATTGCTGACTGTGGACAGCTCTAATAAATTTGACTTGTGTTTTATTTTAACCATCAGACCATTCCTTCTGTAGCTCAGGAGAGCACCTCTTCATCCCAATTTGTTTGGAATGTTCTATAATCTTTGTCTTCTTGCCACAGTTCATTGTGTTCCATAATTTCCTTACCCCTTCCCAGTCTAGCTGGATTGCAGAGTTCAGTTTATGATTATGAAATAAAAACTAAACAGTTGTCTGTCAAAAAAAGTAGATATAGATATAGTCTACCAAAATAAAGTATATCTGCCCTGGCCGGTATGTTCAGTGGTTAGAGCATTGGCCTGCCCACTGATGAGTCTTGAGTTCTATTCTTGGTCAAGGACATGTACCTGGGTTGCAGGTTCAATACCCAACTCCAATGAGGGCATTTGGGAAAGCAACTATTGATAATAGACGTGTCTCTCTCGCATCAATGTTTCTCTCTCCCTCTCCTTCCCATCCACTCTCTAAAAATCAAGGGAAAAAATATCCTCAGGTGAGTATTAACAACAACAAAAAAGTATGTCATAGTTATTTATTCCACAAATATTTGTTGACTTCCTCCAATCCCACAAATATTTGTTGTCTGCTTCCAATTTATATATCTACCTCTGTCAAACAGATATTTTGGTGAAATATCCTTAGTTTCTGGGTATAAAGTATGCTTTGTGAGTAACAAAGGGCATAATAATAGATTGTCATGTTCAGCAGAGAACTGTGATTACATGTGCCTGCTTTTGGTATTGTGGGTGATTTGTGAAAAAAATTAATTGTAAAGTATCTTTTCTCCATATCCACTTTTGTTTCCCACCAAATGAGTTAGGGTAGGAGCGTTCATTTGAGTGTAGACATGTTATTGCCACTCTAGAAGAGAATTTGTTAGTATGTTTGTTACATGAGTGAACGTAACAAAAAAATCATGCTGTACTTAAGTTTCTTACTAAATCTGCCTTTTAAACTCCCCTTACTCTGACAGTCAGTTTCTTCTGTTTATTTAACTACTAGACGCCCGGATCAGGTTGGGGTTCCCTTGGGGCATGAGGCGACCTGAGAGGGGCCTGTGGTGGTTTGCAGGCTGGTCACGGTTGCCGCCGCCCCCCCTCCCCCATGACCCAAGCAGAGGTCCTGGTATCTGCGGTTTATTTATCTTCTACAATTGAAACTTTGTAGCCTGGAGCAGAACCAAGCCTCCTGCTTGCTCTGTGGTGGCTTCCATTTCTGTTAGGATTTATTTACCTTCTATAATTGAAACTTTGTAGCCTTAAGTGGAGGCCCCGTCCGGCCAGGTTGTGCAGAAAGCTTGGCTTCCTCCATCACCGGGGAAACCCAAGCCTCCCTCCTGCTCTCTCGTGGCTGCAGCCATCTTGTTTGTGTTAATTTGCATACTTGCTCCTGATTGCTGGTGGGCGTGGCTTGTGGGTGTAGCAGAGTGATAGTTGGTTTGCATATTGTTCTTTTATTAGATAGGATTTTCCTGACCTCACCCCATTTTAGCATTCTTCTCTTTCTTGCTTTCTTTACATCCCTCCCTTTGAACCTCCTGCAGCCCCACTTCCTCCCTCCCATCGCCCTTCTCTCCCTTCATTTCCCCATGTCTGTCTCCTTCTTACTCCTTTCACTCTCACCCTCCCCATTTGCCCTTCCCTTGTGAGCCCGAACTCTGCCTCCCTACTTCACTATTATTACCCTCCCTTGCTCTCTGCCATATTCAGCGGTTTCTCTTTTAAACTTTCCACTTTCCTCTCTGGGACCTGCTTCAAGCCTCACCTGCGTGCACTTTGATATTAAAGCTTTCGTTGGGAGGGGCATTAACTCCCAGCCCTGGCTAGGCCTCCACTGCCACTCCTTCTCCCGCCTCCCTGCTTCCGTCCTTCTCCCATTTCCTGCCTGGGATGCCTCAACTTCTAGTCAACAAAGTACACTTAACACATCAGCAACCTAACCCTGGCCAGAGTCTTTGGGATCTAGCACTTGGGGACAAAAGTGGTACCCTCCTTAGTGTCCAACTCCTCCACAGCTAAGCTGTTGCTCCCATCCCAGCACTGGGCACCTGGCACAGCAAGGGTGGCCGAGGCCCATGCAGCCCAGGTGCTGCCAGCGCCTCCAACCTGGAAGGCCTCAGACTGTCCACCTCTCCATCCAATGGCCTGGGCTAGGGGCCACCACCCTCCTCCCACATCTGGGCGGGGCTCCCCACTCCTCACCACCTGAGTCCGCCCCTTGCTGGGCCAGCTGCTCCGCCTCCCATGATCGCCACCCCCTCCTGTGTGCAGCCCCGTATTTCCTTCCCTTTTCCATTCCTGTGTCTTTTTCTTACTCCCTTTCTGTATTTCTGTTTCTCCTCTTTTTCTGTCTACATGCAGGCTTGCCTTCCTCTCCCTCTTCTTTCTTATCCTCTCCTATCATATCCTATCCTACCTACTCTGGGCCTTGCAGCTGCCTTCGCAAAGGACTGGGACACAGCCTGTTGAACAGTCGTTATGTGACACCGTCCTGAACAATTTGCATATTCCTCTTGTTGATATAGATTCTTCATTGTTGTTTCTTAGTCTTAGTCACTCTTACTTGGAATTGCTGTTATTCATAAAATCTCAGAGTTAAAAGGATCTCAGAGATTATGTACACTAATCTCAGCATCTTCTTAAATTATTTAGATACTTTAGGCAGTCAACATTTTGCAAAAACAGTATCTAACAAATACTCTGGTTTCTCTTTAGGGCACATAAATCTTTCACCTTTTACTAAAGATTTTCATAGAGGAACAATTCTGAGTTTTGAACCAATTTTTGAGGCCTTGAATCTGCAAGGTTAAAAAAAAAAAGTAACTATCCAATTTATAATCATTTTGCCAGATTTAATGTAAAGCTAATACTAATGGCTAAAATTCATGGTGCCATTCTCTGTAGGCACTGCCCTGACACTGTTTCGTGTATTATCTTATTACGGTAACTCCAGGAGGTGTAGCCCACTTTTCCATCTTAGGTATGAAGCTCAAGAGGTGAAGTGACTTGCCCACACTCACACAGCTGCTACACGATCAGTCTGAAGTTTTAATCCAGCCAGCTTCCTCTCTTAACTATGACACTTTGAACCCTTCTAAATGAAAGTGGGAATTCCAAAGTCATGATTTTAAATGTCACATTATGTATGTGTTTGTATTGTGGCAACTAATGATGAAATTAAAATATAAATGAAAATATTCTATTTAGTCCTAAACTAAATAGTAATATGTTCTAAGAATTACCCTATAATAGAATGATGGGCTTCAAACTAATAGGAGCAGTACATTGGACTCTCTTTGTTTAGAGTGGCTTTCGCTCAAGGGATGCTATATTAGTTGTGAAGAGTTGGGTTCTAGAAAAGCTTCATACAAAAAAGTGGAAATTTTGCCTGTAAGTCTTATAAATATAGAGCATGCCTGGTGTTTATTTTTGGCACTTTAAGGACCTTTAGGCTGCTTGTTGGGTTAGTGACTTAGGTGCTAATGAATGCTTTTTCCCTTTTTATTGTATAAAGTTTTTCCACATCCTACTTATAAAGTTGTGCTTCATAACCTCCTGGGGTATTTACTGTAAAGATTCCTACCCTGCCCTAACCAATTTGGCCCAGCGGATAGAGCGTCAGCCTGCGGACTCAAGGATCCCAGGTTCGATTCCAGTCAAGGGCATGTACCTTGGTTGTAGTCACATATCCAGTAAAGAGTGTGCAGGAGGCAGCTGCTCGATATTTCTCATCGATGTTTCTAACTCTCCCTTCTCTCTGTAAAAAATCAATAAAATATATTTTTAAAAGAAGATTCCACCCCGAATTTAAATGGGTTCCATTCTTTCTTAACTCCATGTCTTTCATATCTTCTGTGACCCAGGAAAAGACCATGCTTGTTTAGTTCCCATTTTTAGTTTTCAAAAATAAATTATACTTTACGTTAGCTTTCTTCAACTTTCTAATAGTGAACCCCTCTGAAAAATCCAGAATTTGATCCATTTTTTGCGAACTACTAGAAAGCTGTACTTATCACCCACCTTTTTTTTAATAATAAATAAGAACAAGTTTTAAATTTTACAGATAGTAAAATTAAAATACCAAGCCCTAACTGGTTTAGCTCAGTGGGTAGAGCGTCGGACCTGAGGACTGAAGGGTCCCAGGTTTAATTCCAGGAAAGGGCATATACCTTGGTTGCAGGCATATCCCTGGTAAGGGGTGTGCAGGAGGCAGCTGATTGATGTTTCTCTCTCATCGATGTTTCTAGCACTCTATCTCTCTCCCTTCCTCTCTGTAAAAAAATCAATAAAAATACATATTTTTAAAAATTGAAAATACCAAGTACAGCTGGGTAGGCATATGAAAGTATTCATGTTTTCATTTTTACTAATAAATCATTTATGTCTTAGAAATAAATATACTTCCTCTATATAGTTATTTCTTGGAAATAGATATAACCCAAGGGTAAATTGTACTGTAATTGGTGCTGAAGTTGCAGTTGTAACCACACATTGTTAAAGTAAACTGGTTTCTCCGTGTGATGTGGACACTACCTTTATGTCCGCGTTAAGGAGTTATATTATGAAAATTGTCTCCTGCACAGAATACCCCTCTGCAAATGGAACTGAGATAAATGATGCAAAGTGCCTAGTGTAGAGCCCAGACCTAGTAATTGGTACTTAAGAAACATTAATTCCCTTTCCTCACATATGCTTATAGTTTGTTGTTTGTTTCTTATTTCACTTTGCCTGCCATCATCTTTCCAAAGTTATGGGATATGTATTTCAGAATATTTCACTTCATTAGGACCTGTTCTGCACTGGGACCAGTTGTGAAGAATGAGCCTCCCATCCCTATATTCTCTTGCTTATTCCTAAATATTAGAAAACAAGAGAGGCAGTAGGAGGAAAGTTTATTTCCTGTTCATTTGAAGTCTGATCTTTTCTAATACAAATGCTGATGAAATATTCTGTTTTCCATGTGCAGATCCTTTGCAAGCAAAGAAAGTCAGAAAGGTTCCTCCTGGTTTGCCTTCTTCTGTAAGTACCCATTTTTTTGACTTTGTGGTAAACAAACTGATTTCGGATATTCAATATTTGCTGGCTATAAGGATATATTCACCTGGTGTCATTAAGAACACTTCATGTAATCAGTTTGCTGCTTAAGGGAACCATGGATTGAGATAAATCTGCATTTAATGTTAGGTTTTTAGATTTCTCTGAATGATTTGTAGCTTACTCATAGGCTTTTACTCCATGTCCCTGTCATTTGAATTCCCCTCTTGGGAAGAGGACTAGGCCAGTAGCTGTCAAAGAAGATATCCTGTACAGGTCTTTTGATGTTTAATTAGTCATTATGTTGCTGAACAGGAGGACAGACAGAGATTAATAGCTGAGAATCTTAGAAATTTACATTTGTAATAATCCCAGTGGAGCTAAAGACATTAAGATTCGGAGGACATGTTCGGCTCAGCTTGCCTCAGTAGGACTGAGGTTATTAATATGCATAAATCACCAAGTCAGATGTTCATTGTGAAACCCTTGTGGATTTTAAAGCCTTCATTAAGCCTTTCCTAACTTCAGCCTAGCGTCAGGAAAGCTTTCAAGCAACTAGTTTGTTGATCCCTCTTTGCTCCAAAATGTATCCTTAGAGAATTAAGAGTGTTCGTGAAGGAGGCTGGAAAGATTTGGTGAACAATTATTAATGGTCATGGTAATCTAATACTGTAGGGGTGTTTATGCTATTAAATATACTTTATTCTTTTAAAGAGTAAAAGTATTTGTAAATTAACCTACATCATAAATCCACCTACAATTTAAAAATCCCTGGTGTGAGGAGGGAAGATATATTTTTTCCTTTCCCTTTGCTTAGAGCAAATAGGGAGTGGGGCCTCAATCCAAAAGCCTGGTAGGGTACATCTCTTTGTTGTGTAAATGGATGTTGGGCTTTTATTTGGCAGTACTTAACACATGGGCGCAGGTGCTGCTGGATGAGTCACCGCTCATCGAAGTATGCGCAGAATGGAATATCCGGCTTGGCAAGTCATAATCTAGAAGGAGCAGCATGGGTTTGAGCTTTTCATATTTTACTGAGGCTGAAGTAGAGATATCATCTTTTGGTTGTTTGCTTTCCTTCTTTCCTGTGTTCTTCCCCCGCCTTCTCTTCCATGTGATACATGAAAACTCAAATTTGAAATCCTCTTTGAAAATGAGTTCCAGATGGATCTGAGTTTTATGCAGCCTTGGGCAGCTGCGCTCTGAACCTGCAGCATACCTGTAAGGTTGGATTGCAGCTGCAGGCATTCTTAAAAGCTTTTGCTTGCGCAAGCACTTGGGCCCACTAGAGGCTGAATAGCTGCTTGATAAACAAAATGAACACAATGCCTCAAATCATTATTCCGGAAGACAGACATTTTTTTTCAGCAACAGCTAAAAATAGTTGGGCAATTTACATTTTAACAGTTGTGTACTATGCAGCGATAGGTGGTTCAACCATAGAACACATGATTTCTGCTAGATTAACAGAAATCATATTTAAAACTGACAGAATTGCTAAAATATGTAACTGGGCAATTTTCTTGTAATTTATTGCTACAATTCTATAAGAATAGTAAAAGTTGAATTATCAATATTTAGTAGAATTAAACAGGTAAGGGGGGAAAAACACATTAGTACATATAGAATTCATCTATTTCTTCTTAATGTTAGATCAGTTTTAAAAAACACCTTACAGTATTTTTAGTGTTTAATAGTTCTTTCATTTTTAAACCAAAGGGCAAAATGGACAGAACAGCCTGGAAGGAGAATAGATACTGGAGGTCACTAGTATTCCTAATTTTAACAGCATTCACCATATTGTCTCAGCTGTTCAGGAGGCGCTTCAGAAATGGAGAAATCCTGACAAAACCTTGATTCCTTTGAGAACCATTAGGAAATTTCACAACTCAAGCCTACTTATATATTGTTTCACTAGCTACCTTATTTGGGATTTATTTGAGAGTTTTACAGAACAGAATAGAATTCAGTATTTTTAGTTCTATATTTAACATCAACTTCAAACCTGATCATACGACTTTGAAACCATGCTGAAAATAGTATTTACACATATCGAATGCTATCATTAGGATATATAAATAATAAATGCCTTTTACTCAATTGAAAGTGTATTTTAGATTGGATTCTATGTTGAAATCTCAGGTTTTTAAAAGAAATACATTTTTTAAATCTTTAAAAACAGATATCTTGGTAAATAATACCAAAATATACACTTCTGAGAACACAGTTAATGCTATTTATCTTTTCAGTGTCTAAAACAATGGGATTTAAAGACATGGTTTTCTATTTGAATGTTTTTTCCTGAAATATATGTAATTTAATTGTGTGAATTATTTTTAAATGAGTATAAAAATGAAAATGGGCTATGTATATTTTGTTTCATGATCACTGAGATATTTTACTTCCCAAACTAAACAAGAAACTTGACAGTAACATCTCAGATTTTAAGGTTTGATGCTTATCCACTCTATCTTTAATCTGTAAAATACACATTACCCTTACTAAAGACACTGTGAAAGGATTAGTGATAGGGGATCTCTGAGCATTTCCCATTGTGGTGACAGAAATGGTCTAAGTCCCAGAGAATGTTAAAATCGCAAGCTCCATTCTCAGGCCAATGTGAATCATTGTCTAATTTATATTGTGGCCAGGCAGTGTTAAAATAAAAGATAAGGTGCTTTGTCAGGTCCTCTGTGGAAAAGCCAAGTGTGTTAAGATGACAGAGGATCCTGGGCAAGGCCAGAAGGGAAAGTTACTGGTTTTAGCAAATGGAA